AACTATTTCGTTAGATTTACAACTACATATAAGTATACAATAATCAATTTTATTTCTGTATACTATACTAGCAATGAACACGGGGACACCAAAATTAAAAATACAATACTGTTTACAATCACTCAAAAAAACGTGTTTTCTACTGTTGTTGGGTAGAGTATTCTAGAAATATCAATTATATAATTGTGTTGTTGGGTTCTTCTGTTTGCTTGCTACTTTTCTGTCTTTCAATTTTTGAGTGAGGGGTGTTGAAGATTCCAACTGTAATTGTAGATTTGTCTCTTTCAGTTCTATCAGTTTTTACTTCACATATTTTATAGTTTTGTTGTTTGGTGCACACACATTTAGGATTGCTATGTCCTATTAGTGGATTGACCATTTTATTTATGTAGTGTCCTCTGTCTCTGGTAATTTTTGCTATGAAGTCTTAATTTATCTGATATTAATATCACCAATCCTGCCTTCCTTTGGTAAATATTTGCATCTTTTCCCATCCTTTTAAAGATGGGACCTGCCATCTTTAAACCTGCCTATATCATTATATTTGTAGTGAATTTTTTAAAACAGCATATACTTTTAAATCATGTTTTTTTAAAGCCAATCTGTGCTTTAATTGATGTACTTAGCCCATCTACATTTATTTTAGTTTTTGATATATTAGTGCTGACATTTTATTTTCTGTTTTCTGTTCTTTCTCTGTTTTTTGTTTGTTTTCTTTCTTTTTTTTATTTAGTGTTTGTTAGTGTCTCTCCTTGTATAAATTTTTTTAATGTTTGCCCCAGATATTACATTAAATATCCATAACCTGTCACAGTCTACTGGTATCATCATATACTTGTTTGAGTCAAATGTAGTAACTACCTTCTTTTATGTCCCTTAACTCTCCCCATTTATGATATAATTTTCTCATTTTCTTCACATAAACAGTGTTATAACTTTTACTTCAACTATCAGACATAATTATAAAACCCAAGAAGCTAAGAAAAGCCTATTGTATTTATCTAATTTTTGCTTATCATATTTTTTTCCCTTTTTCATGTTTCAAGATTTTTTTCTTTTGCCATTTCTTTTCTGCTTATAGAACCTCCTTTAATCATTCTTTTAGGAGAGATCTGCTGGTGATAAATTCTCTTGGTTTTCCTTTTTCTGAGCAGTTATTGATTTTTTCTTTATTCTTCACAAATATTTTTACTAGGTGTAGGTTTCTGGGTTAATAGTTCTTTTCTTTCAGCACCCGAAAAATATTGTGCCACTTCAACTGGCCTCCACAGTGTGTAATGAGTAATTCTCCATCATTGAAATTGTTTCCCCCCACCGCCCCGTAGGTAAGGTACCATTTTCCTTTGGCTGGTTTTGAGTTTTTTTTTTTTTTGCTTTAGTGTTCAGAAGTTTAATCATGATGTGTCTTGGTGTGGATTTCTTTGGGTTTATCCTTCTTGAGATGCACTCAGCTCCTCGATTCTCTAGGCTTATGTCTTGTGCCAAATTTTCAGCCGTTATTTCTTCAAGTATGTTTTCAGTCTGCCCTCTTTCTCCTGTCCCTCCAGGACACTGCTGACATGAATGTTCAGTCTTTTGTTGTAGCCCCACAGGTCCCTGAGGTCCTTTTTATTTTTTTAGTCTGTTTTCTTCCTGTTATTCAGACTTGGTAATTTCTAATTTTCTATCTGCAGGTTCACTGATTCTTTCCTCCCTTCCCTCCATTTTGCTCTTGAGCCCATTCACTGACTTAATATTCCAGTTATTATGGTTTTTAGTTCTAAACTTTCCATTTGGCTCGTCTTTAGATCTTTTGTTTCTTGCTGAGACTTCCTATTTTTCATTTGTTTCAATTGTGTTTGTAATTGCTTGATGAAGTATTTTTATGGTGGCTGCTGTGAAGTCTTGCTCAGATCATTCTAACATCTCTATCCTCTTGGTGTTGGCATTGGTGGATTGTCTTTTTACATTCAATTTGAGATCATCCTAGTTCTTGGTATGAGTGAATTTGGAATGAAACCTGGATATTTTTGTATTATGTTATGAGACTTTGGCTCTTATTTGAATCTTCTGTTTTTGCTGGTTTTCTCTGATGCTGCTCTGGCAAGTTGTGGGGGTAGAAGTTCGGGTTCCCTACCTAACCTCATTAACACCCAAGGGGAGTAGCCCCTTGTTACCGACCGTCAGGGTCCAGGCTCCCTGCTTTGCCTCCTCTGACACCCTCCAGCAGGGAGGAGAAGGGGTGCCTCATTATTGGCAGGTGTGGGTGGAAGTCCAGACTCCCCCACTGTTTGGGTGGGAGTGGGGTGGGGGCATGTTACCAACCAGTGGGGGTGGTAGTCTTGGCTCCCCACTTGGCTCCTCTGATGCCATCCTGGCAGAGGGGTTAGGGTGCCTTCTTATAGCTTCACAAGGGTGGGCATCTAGGCTCCCACTTGGCCTTCCCTGGAGTGGGTGGAGGTGTTCTTAGTGGTATTGGCTGGAGTAGTGTCGTTATTGCCTAAAATTTTTCTTTATTATGAGGCTGCTCCTTCCCGGTCCCTTGGCTAGGCAGAGCAGCTTTTGTTGGGTATTTTTTTTTTTTTTTGTCCTGCACCTGTTGGTTTTTCCAGGTTGCCACCTCTTCAGCTCCAAGTCTGTGATATATGAGCCAAAAAGAAAACGTAGTGCACACATACCATGTTGCTCCTCTGGTTCTGGGGTCTCCAGCTGGTCTGTCTGCTTCTCTCTACCTTTTGTAGTCTCACTTAGTTTGTTTTATCTATAATGTCCAGAGGTTTTAAATATATTTAGTAGACATATGGAGAAAAATACATCTACTCCCTCTTCTGAGAAGCAGAAGTCTTGAGATCATTGATTTTTATTATTATTTATTTTATTTATTTATTTTATTTTTAAAGATGACCGGTAAGGGGATCTTAACCCTTGACTTGGTGTTGTCAGCACCATGCTCACCCAGTGAGCAAACCAGCCATCCCTATATGGGATCCAAGCCCGTGGCCTTGGTGTTATCAGCACCGCACTCTCCCGAGTGAGCCACAGGCCGGCCCGAGATCATTGATTTTTAAAACCACCACATTACCAGGTGGTTTTGTTGTGAGAATCAAATGACATTGTGCCTGTAAAATTAGAATAGCTGCTGGGACATGGTAGAATCTAAGAAACAATAGCTCTCATTAATCCTGATGTGGACGTTGGTACAAGGTGGGCATGGCCTCATCCTGGGTACCATGGTACTGTGGTAATGGACAGGTGGGGTAGACAGGGAGTCTAGCCTAGAGCAGGCACTTGAGAAGCCCCCACTCCTGTCTCCTTCTGTCCACAGAATCTGCAGTGCCAGGGAGCCAGAGGGGTCCCAGTCACCCCTTGTCTTAGCTCTTTCCTTCTGGAGCAGGTTGCGCTCAGGCACAGGGATGACCCATGTTCTCCCTCAGGGGTCTGAGCTCACTGGCTTCTGCCAAATCAGGACCTTCTCAGGCTGTGGAGATCAATCCCTGACACATTTGCTCAGCCTCTTGTTTTCTTTGTGCCTGTGTCAGGAGACAGTGGAAGAAACCATGAAGAGGAGGCAGCTGAGAGAGTGGGAGGCCCGGAGGTGAGTCTGTGTATCAAGTGGCCCCTGGTGCCAGGCACCCTGAGGTCTGTGGTGCCACCAACACCTATTTTTTTCCTAGGACTGCATCCTTTTTTTTTTTTTCTATCTTAGGATAATTCACTTAGTTTAGAACCTCTGGACTAGTGGCTCCAGGAGTGAGCGTGTGGCCACTGTGCTGGAGAAGAGCTCTGGTCCCCCTCTGTACCACCCTCTGGTCTCACGAGTGACAGTACAGGCCCAAGGGTTTCCCAAGTACATGCCATCTATGTCAGATGATGGCCCTGGATCTTTATTTTTATCAAGTTTTTCAGATGTAGATTCTTTATTTACAAATTCTTTACAAATGAAATAGATGCCAATTGTGTAAAACTTTTCATAGAAAAAAAAGTATGAAAGGAAAACTAAGTTATCCATAATTCCTCTTCTTATTGCAAATGTAAAAAAATTCAAGTGCTTTAAAGTGAAAATATTGGAAAGATATTCTAGCTTGAGGTAAACGTGCAGCAGTGCCCTTGAGGTGGGTACCAGGGGACTTTCTTGCTGGATCTGTCCTTGGAGGTCTCCCCAGCTCATGTTCCCTGCTATTCCAGCTGAGGGTGTACACTCCTGCCAGCCAACCATGGCGGGGAAGGCCACCCCTCATAAGGGCAATGTAAAACCATTTCAAAAAGTGTAAGGAAAGACAAGGGAAAATAATCCATATTCTCACTACCTAATTATGGGTTTGGGTTTGTCTTCTCGGGTTATCCATATTTGTGCATATTTTACATAATCATAGTATTCATCTAATTTTGCATTTTTCTACTTAATAACCATTTGAAATAGTTCTGAACAGCCTTTCTAAACTGTATAGTACTTAATTGGCAATTTCCCTTCTTTTTGAACTATAGGTTACTTCCAGTTTTTTGCTATTACATATAAGGTTGCAATGAATAACTGCACACAGCAAGTTTTGTCTTGCTTGTTCCTTTGAATTGTTGTTTTGGGATAATTTCTTGGTACTGAGATTTGGGGACTACCCATTTTATGTCATACATTGCCATAAGCAGTTTGTGTTGATTCCACTGCCTTCTAGCATTGTTGTATGTGTACGTTCTGCTAAAAAGTCAGAAGTGAAAACAAATAGTACAATGACTTAGTTAGCATTTCTTTGAAACTGTCAGCTTTTAGCATTTTCCCAAATGTTTGGCTTCTTGTTGTGCTGCTTCCTGTTGAAGACCTGCATTTTATGTCATTGCAGAAGAGACATCCTCTTTGATTATGAGCAGTATGAATATCATGGGACATCAGTAAGTATGAATAGGTGTAATTCACCATAAAGTTCTGACTATAGGGGTCAGTGTCTTAAAACATGAGGAAGAAGCACAGGTTTTAGAGCCACAAACGCCTGGTTTGAATCTGAGCTTCACAGCTTCTCACTGTGTGACCTCATGCAGATGGTGCAGCCTCTTTCTCTGTAAAGTGAAGAGAATAATCCTTATTTCAGAGGCAATTGTTAAGATGGTCCCTTGTACCTAATAGATGCTCAGAGAACAGCAGCTGTTATTTTGGTTCATAATCAAAAATATTGCACGAGTCTGTACTAATCTCTGTGCAAGAATAAAAACTCTAAAGACTTATAACAGCACATTAGTGTCTGTGTTTTACAGAACAGAATTTATTGTAGAAAGTCTATGTTGACTCCAAGAGTGTTGAGTGGAGCTCAGGGCCCTAGGAAATAAGTTTCCAGTAAAACATCCTGTATTTAGTCTTAGAATTTGACCCTGGAACTTTGAACTCTGAACACCGTATTTCCAATGCCCCTTTTATTATCAAGGTTCCATTGTCCTTTGAAGGATCATCCTCTTGCCCTCTTTGCTCAGCCCTGGCAAATGGAAAGTTCTAAGCAGTAGGTGGGAAGGGAGTTGATTCTTGCTCAGACAAGATGCCCATCTCCCTCCAGATATGTAGACGGCCCCCTTGGAAGTCCTCTGGAGGAAGCCCAACTTCTCACAGCTAAGGGGACTTTAGAGTCTTCTGATCATACTCTGATACCCCTTACAGTCTCCTACCAAACCCAGACCTTCCGCCCACAGGGAGCTAAATTCTTACATCCATGGACAGACCTATTGGAAAGATCTTCCTCACATGGGGTCCTGAGGCCCCTCCCTCTTTAACATCTAAGTAACTGGAACCAGGGCCCTGCCTCACTTGGCCTTCCTGGAAGGTGTTCAGAACCGCCAGACAGCCAGGAAAAGTGTGTGGATGCAAGGGCCAGGCAAATGATGGGGTCCCCTGACCTCAGGCTTCAGTGCTGGCCTTTGGCATCACTGAGGGGCCCAGTGATATGTGTAGAGACCCTGGCCCAGTACCACACCTGGGCTGTCTCCCATCCTTCCCTTGCTGCAGGATGAAGTACACAGATTGTAATGACTTTAGTTAGCAGAGGAGAACACATGGGTCAGCAGAGTTACTCTCATTCTTCCTCCCCTTGGTTTAGTGTGTACTACTTCCCCAGATTGGGCTGGAATTCACCTGCGTACCCTGGC